CTGGGGGCTCTTTCGGAGTCAGGGGAATGAGGCCCGTTTTTTTTATTGCGTTTAGTATTTCGATACCCACGTATAGCTTGCTGGGCTCTGAACGTGGGAGCTGGGTATACTCACGGGTAGCTTGCCAGGCTCTCCCAGAGTGGACATGGAGCTTATTTATTGGAGGCGACTCCTAACCGCCTCCCATTTACTTCCCTGTCACTTGATTGCAGGCTTTTGGCCGAATTGACTCGTAGAATATAATCCGCATAAGCAAGAACGCATTAACACACGCATGCGTGAATACGCCTAACAAATGTAGAAAGTGTGTGCCAAATCGGCGCAGCGGAAACAGATCCTACGTCTCAGGGAAGCAAAGGTCGCTTTTGGGCCGCGATTAACCGCCTATCCACCACCTGTGGACGCGACATAGCCTCTCGACTAACCGGCTCGAGATCCCTCATGTGAGGGGGATCTGTGGCGGTACTGGGTAAGTAGGAAGAAAGATCACTCAGCGTTATAGAACGCGCACTCGAATGGACGGTGCTAGGAGTATCTTGCACCATGTAAGTAATGAAGAGATCTGAAGCTCCGACCTACGTCAACGATCAAGAATCAAGGACGATGTTCTACAGTCCAAACTATTGAGGATAAGGTGGGCCAGACACGTAATGCATACGAACGACAACCGACCGATGAACAGGAGCCGTTAGCGTTTGGATTCATCGGGATGTCAAACGTACTGAAGGAAAACCAGCGACACGATGGTCAGAGTTCTTCATGGAAACTGCAGGAGAAGGGTATAATGCTGAGCGAGTCCCTAGATCGAGCAGCATGCACTGGGCTACTTTTGCACGCGGTAGGGAGAAATGGAAGATTTACTGACGCCCTCTCCTAATCACTCGATGATCAACGAGACGACACGTAGCAGGTGACTTGACATAAAAAATTAAGAGGCAGTAGGTAAAAATTCAAAAAATGTAAACACATATATTATTACCTCTTGAGAAGTGAGTCTCTTCGAAGTGTCACTATCCTCTTACAGATTCTTACAGATCTCCCGTTCTTTCTTCTCCCCTTCACTCCAATTCGTGTCCACTCATCACCATCGATCTACTATCGAAAGAAGCTACTCTTCACTCTTATGCAACCTTTCTGTATCAACCAAACATTTTTCGCATCGATTTACAATCTGTATTAAGATTTAAATACAAAAGTTACACGCAGAGTGTAGAGACGTAGAGAAGAATGTAAATTCCCTTAGCAGAACACAAAAAGAGCAGAGCTGTACAAGTTCCAGTTTTCCCAGAGGTATAAATATAACGTTTACATTAAATGAAGTGATGAATTAGGCGAGGTTTGAGACAAGGTGAGTTCCATGGTAATCAATTATGCTTGTAACAGTTGTATCTTCCAATAAAGTAAGTAAACAATCCTCTTGATACCAAACATGCTATAAATAGCAAGACTCATTAGTGGTTGAAGCTACACTGTTTTCGGTCTACTCTATAATTCGTTAGAACTAGCTAGAGGTGGGTTGAAGTGGCGCATGCATGCTTTTTTCAAGGAAAAAACACACCATAGGGCACTACTTTATACCTACGTCGAATTAGCATTATAGCTCGTGGATTTCCAAATCCTGTTAGAATAGACTTGCTGAAGCTTAGTGTTACGGTGAGAGAAGCCTTGCAGTGCACACGGTGTCACTGGTTCGAAGTTGCACCTCGAAAAAGCAAATCCTCCATGCAACCGGAGCTGGCGGATCTGTACTAGAGATAGGATGGTAAAAGCGCCGAATCGATACCTCGAAAGCTTTATTCCCTATTGTTGGATTGTTTCCTTTAGGGGGTTTTTCTACCTACGTACATTCTTGAGCGTCCGTCTAGCTTACTGGATTCTACTAACCAAACGTCTTGTTTGATTCGATATTCCATTTCTCTCTCTCTCTCTCTCTCTCCTTCGTTGATCTCTTCCTGTCTTCCTCACTACCTCTTCGCAATATCACAGTGATTGTAACGACGGCGCATCCTTCACAATACATTTGCTATCGTGGATGTCCAACATAAATCAATCAATCCAGTTGATACCTACTCAGAGACTTAAGTGGACTTTCTTCACATGTTATGCGAGTCACAGTACCTCTTCCACTATTTTGCTGTTGATCTTCAACCGTCATCCATACAGGTGATTGGCGGGTTAGCACTTGACTGCCATTTCGGAATCAACGAACCTCTGTCTTCACTGATATAGTGATCGAGTGTGATTCTTTTTTCTGGAAGTCTGAGATAATCGTGCTATGAGATTATGAGATCGACACGACTGGTTAGTGTAGGCGTTTATGAACCAGATGTAAATTTTTTACTTTGCAATAGATTGCTCCAAGGTAACAGTGATTCCTATGAAAATAGCAAATCTTGCAACGGTTCAATGAATCCACCTGACCACTATCAGTTTCGTTCTGAGACTTGTTCGCTCTTGTTTTAAGGTGGTTTTTTAACTTTATGGTCCTTACAACCTAGATTACAATTACAATTTCAACTAGATCTTCAATGATTTTCACATGTTCCAATGGTTTACCGCCTTATCGTGGCAGGGAGATGTTCTTGGGTGTCGGGCTGTGGTGTACAGTGGAGGATTCATTTTCCTGGTAGGGTCTCCCAAGCTGAGAAGGAGTCCGGCGTTTTCATTAGAAAACCTAGCTAGGAGCAAATCAATACGAGATCCACGACCGTCCTGGTATTAAAGTCGCATGGTGGCAAACCACAAGGGCTGCGAGTGCCTGTGGTGGTGAAGACCTGGGGCAGACTTTGGCCATTCTGACCTCGAGATTCCAGAGAACCACAATGGCTTAACCAGCAAATCTCCGAAAAATGGAGATTATGCTGGGGTCCGCACAAGCAGTGAGGACGGTCCATTCTAGTATCATGGATCAAGTATAATTGCCACATTACCACGTAATAGATCACCTATTATGGCTACAAGGAGAAACCACATATAAGCTTCTATATGCCTTATGCCGTATTCACTGTTCAGCAAATGTACTCTGGAATGTTATTACCCGTGTTTAGATATTTCAAGAACATTTGATGCTTGAGCTTTCAAAAGTCGCTATCATCGAGAATCAATGCGACCATGTGCACTTAGATTTAATCCTATGCTGCCGTACTGTCAAAGTACTTCCCTGTTATCCTGAAATTTTGTCGTTGTATCAAACAGGCTTGCGCTCTTCTATACCACAATAACTTCTCTTGCTTGTGGCAATCACTGCAATGAACATCGAAAATGAGTTAAAGTTGTGTGTATGAAACGAATGATGAGAATTTGAAAGGACGGAGTGCTGATGAACATACGGAAACGGGACCAAATATCTTGGGTCTTCTTTCCTGCTGTGTATCTGGCAGAAATCTTTACATTGATCTCAAGATGTTGGTTGCATTCTTCTTGTTTCTCTTCGAATTGCGCTAGTACTTTCTACTTATTACATTTCCGACAGTTCTGTTCTTCTTTCTACTTCTGTTTAGCAAACACGAGATGTTATTTTATTTCTTTATTTACGTACAAGCTGACGTTTCAGCGGATTTCGCCTTCCTTAGAGCCTGGAAAAGTTAAGTTGACTGCAATCTACACGGCCAAGAACCTCCATAACTAAACAGAGAAAATGCTGAACCAAAATTTCAAACACATTGAACACAAAGTCTTTGCACACTCACCGCTTTCTATGTGTCTTTCACTAAATATGTCACGTGGAGATCAACCGCACAGAATTCACAATTCACAGCCGCAGGGAGGAATGCCTCATTATCACGCGTGATATTGGGCAGTATATAAGCCTGTTATTCTGATGAGATGGGCGCAATACGATTCCGTGTGAACTCGTGCGGTTGGTCTTCACGTGACATATTTAGTGGAAGACCCATAGAAAGCGGTGAGTGTGCAGAGCTGTGTTCAATGTGATTGAATTCTTGGTTTAGCGTTTTCTCTGTTTGGTTATGGAGGTGTTTGGCCGAATAGAACTAGAAAGAATTATTCAATCGATACCGAGGTTAATAGAAAGTCGGACGTGGGAGTTCTGTTCTTCTTTGGGTGTTTCTCGGCCGATCGAAGGAACTTGGAAACAATTCTCTCTCTGTGCTTCGGCCTGTTTTTTCCACCACCATTCCATTCATCCTTTATACGATGTATGTCCCATCCGAATAGATTATCCATTAAAAGTTGTCTTTGTTTAGTCATGTGAACAGATCATCGATACCATTGAAGAATATCCTTCTTCAAATTATCCTATTTCGATCTTAACCATTTTTATTTATTGCCCACTCTTTTTGATGGCAGGGTATATTGCGAAGTATAACTTCAGTGATGCTGAGATATTTGCGAAACTCCAGACCGCAGGTGTATGCGGTGGGGAACGAACGCGCTATTGTCCTTTCTGGGGAGTAACGCGTTCACCACCACACCATCCGGGTCCTTCGTTTTGCCTGTCTCTCAGCTAGTTCTATTGATGTTTTGCCATCAGCAATCACCCGTCAACGGGATTGCTCTGGGGAGCCCACATCAGCATTGAACCCAGTTAAGCTGAGGCTGTAGTTGAAATCACAATGTTTTACCCTTTTTATTTTCTGCCTACTACAATTTTCACGGCATGGTATTAAGCGAAATACAACCACAACGTTGCTGAGATATTTGCAAAACTCTGGACCGCAGGTGTCTATGGTGGGGAACGAACGCGCTATTGTCCTTTCCAGGGAGAGACGCGTTCACCACCACACCATGCGGGTCCTTCGTTTCGCGTGCCTCTCAGTTAGTTCTATTCTAATATATATATATTTATATATATCTTGCCAAATAAGTTTGGTAGCATGAAGTCAAACCAGTGAACACATGTATATTGAAGAGGTTCTCTCACCAGAGGTTCTGGTTCTGCGTTACAGCAGTCCTTCAAACCTACTTCTAGTCAGTCTAATACCTAAGTGCTGTACATACTCCAGTTTTCTAAATCGTCGACAATACTTTGTACCCAGGAAATGAACGATTATGAACAGCTGACACCGACAGAGGGATTACTACCTCCTCCGTTAGATCCTAACAATCCTTTGCCACCTCCGTCAGATCTACCTCCTTCAAAGAATTCTCCATTAGGACAGGGAACGCAGAATGAACAAGGTGATTGTGCTAAAAACCTTTCTCATAATAATTGTCCTTGGAGATGGTTTTCACAATCGGGATGATTCTTCATATTAAGGTAATGAATATGAAGCACTAGGAAATCCTACTCCTGATGAGTTCGTTACTCCACCTGATCTATCAAAACCGACACCACAAAAATTAAGGAAGGCTGGAAAAAGGCAAGTTTAAGATCAGCGCTAGAAACATGCAAATTTTAATGAGTTCGTGCGAATATTAAACCAAAATGCCTAGTTTAGTACTCTGCTTCGCCTTACAGCATATAATTTTGGTTTGTTGACTAAAGCCTACACTGTTTAATGTGGCGCGTGTGGCACAGTGGTTAGAGGCGCCAGTCCAACACACATGTGGAATCGACCTCTGCGCCCATAGCTCATCAAGTCCTCTATCTCTCCCCCCCCCCCTCCCCGGGGTTGGCAAATTGGTACTAGACTTGTCTGGGAGGATAGCAGCACTGGTTCGATAAATCGACAGGCCACCGCGAGTTATTGTTAAGGCCAGATGTGCATTCAATCGCTTCCAACGATACCTAATGAAGTCGAATGCATGGTGCGTCCCTCGGGAATTGATCAACGCCAAAAGCTTTATCCTTTTTTACACTGTTTGACATGTTTATGACCAATGATTTTTTTTTGAAGACATGATGTAGATTCGTTTGGTCAAGTGAAACAAGAATCAACAGGAAAAAAAAGCCCTAGATTCCTAAAGATCAAGAAGAAAAAGATAAAGAAAACTACGAAGAGAAAACGTGCTGAAGATAATGAAGCTTCTACTGAAGGTGATGGTGCTAAACAAAGGGTAAGTGCTGTAAATAGTGGACATTCTAATGATGTGATTATATCGGAAATGGTACAAGATCAATAGACTTACAACAGATCTAACAAGTTTTGTGCTTTTTTCCTATGTCTCTTCTCAAAAGTATTTCGTGTTGTTGGTGCTAGGGCAGCGCAGTTTTGGAGATGCTCAGCAGTACACACGTGGTCTGTGGTTCAATCCCGCGTACAAGGCTCGTTAAGCCTTCAACTAACCAGGGTCGGCAAATTAATAGGACTTGTGTGGAAGGATAGCAGCACTGAGTTGGCGCATTGGTGGGGCCACCGCAAGTCATTGTACGAGCCAGATATGCTTCAATTACCTCTGGCGATGGTAGGTGAAATCGAATGCACATCGTATCTTTTAGAGATTGACCAATACCGAAAGCCTTGTTCTTTATCTTTTATTTATGCCCCTATGCACATAAAGAAAACTACCAACTCTTTATATTAAGCAAGCGTTAAACTGTGTGGGAAGCTTAAATAATGTTTGGAAGGATTTGTTCTCGTTACATCTTCCTGGAGCTGTCGCACAACCAATCGCAGTACTCATTAAATAGAGTGATTGAAAAGTAACGCCGATTTTAAAATTTTTACAGTTTATTCCCTAACTCTAATTTTTACCAGAAAATAAGTTTGAGGAAAGTCGTATGGCGTGGAGGCTTATTTAAAACTCTACCTGAGCACTTATCCTGAGAACCGCTCCAACTATTTCACCGGGAACTTTTGCGGGTTTTCCAGAAATAATACGACGATCCCCTCGTATTCAACGGATCTCGCTCATATGAAGGATCTGGAGGCGGTCAGTCGCAAGCTATGCGTGGGTATCAAAATGCTAAACACAATAAAAAAACGGACCTCATTTCCCTGACCCTGAAACAGCCTCCAATTTCGCAGTGTTGGGTAGGACGAGTACAGAGAGGCTGCTAAAATCTCAGGGCCAATGGAAGCTGCCTGGATTTCAAAAAACTATGGTGACGATCTGTACCTACAATGGACGCACGCTTACATTTGATTCCTCTTTAGAAGACTTGATCATGCAAGCGAATAGGATAAGGTACGAGGTCATTGGGCTGGCCGAGACAAGACAACGCTGGACGTGGGAATCTCGAAGTGGAGAGTATCACCTGTATCACCTGTAGTGCCGTTGATCGTCGAGTGACGGTGCCAGCAAATCTTCCATTTTCCCTAGTGTCCGAACTTGCAGAGCAATTCAAACAAGCGATAAAAGAAGATCTTAAAGAGAGAAGAGCAGTAGTAATGGTCGAAACTGGAGAGGCTGGGAAAAGCATCCGCAAAGCCCACCGAAGCATCACCAATTACGAGACCAAAATGATTGTACTCCGGCATCCACACGGAACAGTTACAGCGTCCAGAAGGGCAGTGGAGAAAATCACTCACGAATACTACTTGGATCTCTTCGATAGCCACGTCCACCTTCTGACATATGAAATAAAGAAGGATGGATATGTTGCACCACCGGTTCTCCCTTCCGAAATCCGACATTCCATTTCGTCGGTGAAAAATCGAACAGGGCCAGGTCAGGACAGGATAAGACCAGAACACCTGAAGAATCTTCCGTCAGTGTTCGTAAACACACTAGCTTGGCTCTTCACACGTTACCTGTCTGAACGCAATGCTCCTACTCAATGGAAAACCAGCAAGGCCGTGTTATTGTTCATGAAGGGTGATCTACACGATATCCGCAACAATCGCGCAATCTGTTTGCTGGTCGTCTATAAACTTTCCACTCGAGTCATCCTAAACAGAATTGACCGAACATTGGATGAAGGGGAACCATGTAAGCAAGCAGTGTTTCGAAAAGGATTTTATGCGATCGACCACATCCACACGATAACAAGACTCATTGAAGTATGGCGACAGTACAAAAGACCGTTCTGTGTCACTTTCATTGATTTAAATAAGGCCTTTGATTCAGTTGAGACAGAAGCAGTCTTGGAAGTCCTTGACAGTCAAGGAGTCTCTATTCAGTACATAAAGCTTCTTCGTGAGCTGTACAAAAATTTCACAACCAAGGTGTCACCATTCTACGACGTTGTTAACATTGGCGTCAGAAGAGGAGTTACGCTAGGCGATACCATCCCGCCAAAATTATTTACCGCAACCCTCCAGAACGTCATTCAAGCACTGGTGTGAGACAACATGGGAGAGAAAATCGATGGCCGGCAAATCCTACATCTTCGCTTTGCTGAAGATATCGTTCTTATAACATCAAACATTAGCCAAGCGGAACGTATGCTTGCCGACTTTGATAAAGCCTGTGGAAAGATTGGTCATCGGCTAAATCTCACAAAAACCGTATTCATGAGGAACGGATTGGTTTCGTATGTCTCATTCACACTCAACGGAACGAATATCTCCGGATGCTCCAACTATGTATGCCTAGGTCGGGAAATCAATATTATGAACGACTTAGTTCCAGAGCTGAGCAGAAGGAAACGAGCGGCTTGAGGAGCTTTCAAGAGCATCGAGGATGTAGTGAAGAGAACAAAAAACACCTGACTCCATGCTTACCTTTTTGACTCAACAGTACTTCCAGCCTTAACGTATCCGTTAGAAATCTGATCGCTGCGTAAGCAGGGTGAAAGAACACAGCGTTATTGAATGCGCAGTCGAAAGGGCGATGCTAGGAGTAACCCGTGCCACACAAGTGAGGGAAGGAATCGGAAGCTCCGACCTGTATCGGCGATCAAAAATCAGAGTTGCCATTCTGTACGGCAAACAGTCGAAGATAAGGTGGGCAGGACGCGAAATGCGTATGAACGACAACCGATGAACAAAAACCGTTAATGATCGGATTCCTTGGGATGTCAAACGCACTGCAGGAAGACCACCGACCCGATGGTCAGAGTTCCTCACGAAAAGCGTGAAAGAAAGAGCTGATACTCAACGAGTCGTTGGCGCGAGCAGAACACACTGGACTACTTTCGCACGCGACATGGGAAAATGGAACATTTACTGGCAGACGCTCGAGTCACTCGACGATCGACTAGACTACAGGTGATACATGTGAATACGAAGATCTCTTCTATCCGTTATTGGTAGCTGTGACTGTTTATAAGCCCACCAATGTTAAGTAGCGCTTTATCACTCCGGAGGATACTGTTAAAGAACTCAGACCAATTTCCCTTGAAAGGCAACATCACGTCTCCGAACTCAATGCGATTGTCGCAATTTTTAGCACAGAGCTCTTGAAAGTAATGCACCTTCCATGGATGCGATTTAATCACCTTCATGCGCACAATTCTTGAATGTGAAGGGAGATCTCACTTTCCTTTGTTGCTTTTCGAATAAGGGAGTTTGTAAAATGTAGAACCTGGTATGAAAACTCTAATATCTCACATATCCTGTGACAAAGAAAATTCTCCGGATGACTTTGATGAACAACAGTTGATTTGTAAATAGGCATAGATATACCTAAAAGATTTGTTGTCGAGCATGATTATGTTCTCATTCTTAGTCATTGATTTCTTATAAATCGATCACTATCTATCCCTATTTAATCGAAGAATACCTTTCTTTCAGGCTTTCTGTACGATCAACTGCATATGTTGCACCTTTATAGCGCTAATATTGACGGTGCTCACCTTCGCTGCTGCGTTGGTCACTTTACAACTGACCACATCGGTGGTCTGGATACCAGAAATTAACGAATTCTACAACAAGACGATTAAGGGGATGTTTAAATAATTCTCTTGACGATAATTACCACGACTTATTGTTATCAGCTGCAGTTAAGGATTAATAATAGGCTTGAATGAATTTTTTTGTCGTCGGTTAGCAGCCGCTAAGACAGTGAAGTAAAATGCTTCCAAATATAGCAACAGTAGCTGACGTTTCGGCAGTATCGCATTCTTTAGAGCCTGGAAGGGTACACTGGGAGGTAATTTGCTAGGTCAAAAGCTTCAACAGTAGAAACAGATAAATGAAAATCTGAATGCAGAAGCGTTTAACCGAGTAAATTACGTATTGGTGCATCTTTCTAGGGTCTGAAGAAGGCGATACTGCCGAAACGTCAGCTACTGTTGTGCTGTGTTGTGTGTGTTCTTTTTGTAAAGAAGTAAACGTGTGCTAAATAACAACCTCGCGATTCCTCAAAAAGTAAACGAGGTATTTGCAACCCAATGCCGAAGCTAATAGAAAGTCGAACTTGAAAATATCTCCAGTTGAAGAAAGTGACTGCTATTATGGTATTGGTTTGTACAGCATCTTGTAAATATAGTTTTAAAATGAGTTAAAACAGAGTTGCTGAGTTATAATGTTGGGCAAGCAATGTACTTACTCCGTGGCCATGAGTATTCAATTTCCTCTCATTTGCTTGATAGAGAATACTCTAAT